TATGTATTTGCTTTCTACTACAAAGGAATGGCCACTGGTCATGTACATCTTCATGGTGTAGCGTGTGTGAAAAAAAAATGATGAACCAAATGACTTTGGTTAATTGATATCAAATAATTTTGTGCTATTTGAGATGAGAATGAACTCATAATTCATATTTACATAATGAATAATAATGTGATCATATTTAATAAAATATGATCGAACACTAAGTTTTAATGCGTTCATCGCATTGGTCCAATTCATTTATGTGGGATGAATGAATGAAAAGTGTGCAAATTTAATTTGGACACTTGTTCATTTATTCAATGTGAGCATGAGATAAAAGCTTCTAGCCTCAATGTGCTAACATGTTCCACAAATTATGAATGAATTCAATTCAAAGATAGTCATTTATGGCCTATCAATTATGGTGGATTGGATAATTTCACGCTATTCGCTTAGGAAAATGTGAACAATCATAGGTGTGTAAAACCTATGCAACGAGATTAGTGGGGACTTGTGAGTCAAGTCTATCTAAGCCGGAATGGTTGTAAGGTTATGTTCAAAGTAAGTTGAACATATTTATGAAACAGTATACCTCCAATATGTTGGAGATGAAATTTGGTTAATGCACGTCAAAATGATTGCATTACGAGTAAGCCACAAATGATAAGGAATTCTCAATTCCTATGATGCTAGTTAAGAAATGATATACATTTATCATGCATGTGGTTTAGGACTTGATGTTGCCTATGCTATGATGGCAAGGAAAATAAAGATAAGATTGATCCTTACGGGGATTGATAAGCTTGCCAAAGAATGGTGATCATCAAAGTAATCATCGTTAGAATTTTTTATGGTACATGTACACAATATACCATTGGAATATAATTTGACTTATGATCATTATGTGAAGCTAGCTGTTTGTGAGAATTGTTTAAGGTATATATAGACTTATAGCGTTGGCAAACAATTTGGCATGAGAGCTTAATTAAGATGATCTTATTGAACTTAAAGTCCGAATTACTTATGATATATTTATGAAATTTATAACATTGACAAGTAATTAGACTATTGACTTAGAAAAATTCATCGGAATTACTTGTGGTATGTCAAGCTTTCTTAACTAATGCCATTGGTAAGTAATTAGATGGCATTTCCATTACTGGAATGCATCTGAATTACTTGTCGTATCTAGGGCTGTCCATTTGGTTTTAACCGAAACCAAACCAATTGGAAAGCTAATGGTTTCAGTTTTTTGGTTTTAAACCAATAAGCAACTTAATGGTTTTGGTTTGGTTAAAACCGAAAAACCAATAGAAACCATTAAGAAACCAATAAGAATAAAATTATTTATCAACAAATATTTTTTTTTGTTTCTTTTGACACGCATGCCAAACAATAATTTGTTATGGCCATTTACCATTATTATGACGTTTATTCAATAAAAAGGAGGAAAATAGGAATAAATATGAGTGTATGAGTACATGTTGGTTTTTTAGTTATCCAAACCAAAACCAAAACCATTAAGGCCCTTATTGGTTTTTGGCAACCAAAAACCAATAAGAGCCTTAATGGCAACCAAAAACCAATAAGAGCCTTAATGGTTTTGGTTTTGGTTTTTCATACTTAATGGTTTGGTTAACCAAACCAAACCAAATTGACAGCCCTAGTGGTATCTCATGTTGCCTTGACCAATACCATTGGTAAGTAATTAGATGATTTTTGGTAAAATTTGAATTGTTAGTGGTATGCTAATCGAATTAGAACATACCATTGGTAAAGAATTAGATGAAGATGGTGGTTGTCAAGTTCAATAAGTAAAACCATGAAAAATAAATGGAATTATTCCATGATGTTTGGCAAATAGTAGAATTGTGGAGGAGAAGAGTTGTTGTTCAGGCTACTATTTCAAAATCATACAATGAGTAGCAAACCTATCTATAAGACGAAAATGGAAAGGTCAAACAAGTCATACTTGAAAGTATGAAGGTGTCGAGTGAGAAAGCGCAAGTCCATAAACCTTGTGGAGTTAACCCAATCTTAGGGTATTACTTATATGTAAAATCTAGCATATATTGACATTTATGTTAGGGAGTTAGTCTAAGAAATCCAAAGAATATTTCTCAGGCATGTTAGTACACTAATGTTTTGACCATATACATGAAGGTATACATGAAGGTATACATGAAGGTATATGAACAACATTCCTCATACCGGAAACGTTGATTTCAACAACTATCGTGAAATAGTTGAAATGTGGGGATATATTGGGGAGAAGTGATATGAAATGTCGCTTGGGTGATTCCAAAGTGAAGTGATTTGAATACTTAGGAGTTTTACCTAAACCCTAAGATAAGTCATAAAATATCACTACATTGTAAGAGATACTTGTGAAGTTCAAGTACTCTAAGATTAATGAAGTAGAGAGGCTACAACACCTTGATCGTGTGTTGTGATTATTTTAAGGCAATAAAATCAAGTCAAGTACACATGATATGTAGTGAATAGAAAGAGATGAGTCTTTGGTGTATTATACCCAAAGAAACTCACCTGATGAACCAAAAGGCAATCTATAATTGATATGCATTTATGGTTGATGGGAGTAGTATCTTGGAAAACATTCAAGTTAAAATATATACCCACTCCAGAACCGGTGAAGTTCAATAGTCTGGTCCACAAAGACTAGCGTTAATAAACGCACTTGTGAACAAAATTGTGATTGCAATGGCTAGAAGTGTTATGTGAAAATCTTGTCATAGATAATGGAAACATAACACTATTGATTGATTAATTTATAGCAAAGTTATCGGAGTTGATCATTTAGATCAAATGATAACACACATGGGACCCACCTAGAAATTAATTTAAGGATAGAAAGGAATGAACATGTGCCCTAGGACAAATCATCATATCGGTAACTTTACCTAAGTAGGATTGGCAGACCCAACCTATAGGTTCAAGGCCAACTCTCTAAGAACTCATGAGACCAGGCGGCGTTCATGGCTAAAACGAACACAACAATGAGAACCAGTGAACATATAAGAGTTAGTTGTGTGACATGTGTTGTTGTAGATACAAGTAAAACCGAGAGTTCAAAGATATCACATCTACCGATTGATGAGTATACTCGATATATGTTCACTAAGGAAGGTTTAAATGGAAACCTACCTATCCCCATGCAACTAATTCTTAGTAGAAAATCACACAGTTTTTGCATAGTTTTTAAAGTATAACATTCTTCATTCATGTGGGGGACTGTTGGAATTTTTAATGGTGTGAATGGAAATCAAAGGGGAAAGATCCAAGGGAATATTGAAGTACCGTGTTGGTAAGATGTGGAAAGGCGTTACCTCGAATTTGATCGATTTGATGTAATATGTGGGCAATCGGTTAAATTGGTTTGTGTAGCCAACCAGACTAAATCAAACCGAGTTGAAATGAATCGAACCAAACTGATAAGGTAGTTGGAATAACCAAACCAATTAACTTCCATGGGCCGAACCAATGCAATGGTTGAAATATTTTAAACTAACCATTGCAATGGTTGGCGTGTAACCACCCATAGGAAGAGTTGCCTTCCTTCATACGCACCCCTTCGTTTTCTATAAATAGCACCTAACCCCTCTGGTTTTGATAAGAATTTTCCTATACCAAAACTTTGCCAAAATCCAAACTGAAATTTCTGCATTCTTTTTAAAAGAAAAATCGAGTCTAGTGTGGTTCTCGCCGATTCATTGCGTTTGTTGGTTTCCGCGGTTTGAGGTACTACTAGAAAGGTACGTCGTTTCTATCATGGGAGAAATCATTCCATAACCTTGGGTACTAGAGGATAATAAGATTCCTAAGGAGAGACATTGAATTATGTCGGCTAGGACCTTGCTTATGTGTTTGTATGATTCCATGATCTTATAATTCCTTGTGTTGATTTTGTGATCTTGTTTGTTACTTGTGTTGCAAGAATTAGGATACGTGAACGATTTCCACAACACTTAAAACCAACATTCAACATTACTTGTCAAGTTATACCTTTTTGTTGTAATGTAGTCATAGTCGTACCTTTAGTTTTGTGCTTTCGTTGAATCTCCACACGATTAGGAGTAACTCACCATAGTTTGTTCCAAAAATGGTTTAAGGTCATGACAAAAGGGGTAGTCTATTATGGGATTGTTGATACGACTTTGGTGGATCTTCGATATGATTTTTTGATGATGATTTAAGCTAAATATAAAGTATGACGTTGGCAGATGATGTGAAGTTTATCATTGATACATTAATTCGACTTCTCTTCACGATATATGGTAGGGTGGGTCTGTCTTTGAGGAGCTTTGTCTTGTGGAGTAATCCGATTTGAATATTCGGTTTGTTGGCATGTAAAACAATAGCCCATTTTATGGTTGTTGGGGATACGAGAGTCTTGCCGCGCGCCACCATCCATATGAACATTAAGAAGAAATGTTATAATCGTAAGGCGTCATGAAGGAAGAGAACCCAAGGAAACCACCTAGAGTTCGCAGTGCCCTACAGACCGATATCCTGTCCCATTGCATTAATTATTCACCTACCACAGTAAATGCTATAAATAGAGCATTTACTCTAAGGAAAAAGGATTGACATTTGAACAATAGAGAAGCTTATATTACTTTCTCTCTCAATTCACATTTTCTCTTAGTTAACTACATTCTATTTGTAGAAATATCCTATTCATACTACTCGTGACTCTTTTCATAGGTGTCTCTCTCCTACCCTCAGTTAAAGACAAACAATGTCTATGAAGACCATTTCTTTGTTTTCTATAACTTATGGTGGAGTTTTGAACAATATACTTATATTTCCTAGGTAATTCAAGTGATCTTTTGTTAAGAAAATTAGAGATCCTTCTATAGAAACTTCCATTATCATCATGTTGTAACAAAATAACTTTTACCATTAGTTCGATGAAAAGAAACTTATATATACCTTTGATTTCATTGGTTGTCACCGATCAACCCGTTCAAGAGAACGTTTGTTAATAGCTCCTTAGATCTTGGTGTTAGTAACTTGATATCAATATTTGTTTTGTAAAACTTAGCAACAGTTGAGACTTCTGGTAACTTACACTTAATGCCTTGCAAAAGTAAATTGAATATATAAGAAAAATTCAAGTCATTGTTCTTAAATACATAATATCCACATGAATATATAACACAATCTAGACATCTATCTCCTGAAGATATTTGTACATGATGGATAACAATCACACTACTGCATGAACTATTTATGATTACCTTGCTTCGGGCCCTTGTTCAAGTTCGACACCTTTGGTACTACTACTCATTGCAAAAGAATCATTATTGAATTCTTCTTCCACTTCCCCATCTTCATTCACTCTTGCACTCTCCTCATTAGCAACCTCTGCATGTAGGCATTCTTTGAGCTCAGAAACTACATGGTTCATCATTGGCCTTTGAATGGAGATCGATCGGATGCAAGAGATCGAAACCTCTAGTAACTTCCAAGCTGAGTTGGTGTCAAAATTTCCAAGTAGGCGAGGATCGACTAAGTTCCTCAGGTCCCCCTTTGCGATCAAGGGCCTTGCCCAGTTGCCGATATGTGTGTTCTCATTGTGGCCAATTATTATAGCAGGCCTGCCAGTGATCAACTGTAGGAGAACTATGCCAAAGCTATAAACGTCGCTCTTTTCTGTCAGTCTGTTTGATGTATAGTACCTGAAAGTTTGCATATTAGAACTACAGTTTGGCTTGATCTTTTCAAACATCTAGGATTTCTATGAGAGATGTTAAATAAGTTTGGGTGAGAGTCTTACTCGGGATCGAGGTAACCAACAGTGCCAACAACCCTTGTGGACAAATAGCTTTGGCTCTCAACTGGGAAGAGTTTTGACAAACCAAAATCTGCTATCTTCGCCTGCATTTTATCATTCAATAGAATGTTAGAGGTCTTCACATCCCTATGGACTATTGGTGGTTTGCAACCAATATGTAAATACTCCAGGCCTGCACATGATCAAAGTTCAAATTAGGTAACACTACCAAAGCTTGTAACTCTTACACAACTAGCAATGTCGTAAAGGTCTTTCACCTTGGGCTGCATCCAATGCAATTTGTAGCCTCTCTTTCCAACTCAATACCCTTCTCGAACAATCTAGGAATGCATAGGAATTTTTTTGATCAAGGAATGTTGAAAGTACGATAAATCCTGGTCATCATGACCATCGATTCAACTATATATGGTGGTAAGTGATTCAAAGTACGCAGCTTGGCTGTAATCCTTCATAGGCGATAACATATTTCTTACCTGATATATATTTCTCCAGATCTCCACCTGCCATGTACTCATACAAAATTGCAACATTGGTTCCATCGTTGCAATATCCTACAAATGATGCCAAGTTCTTGTGATGAATTCTTGTTAGTAGTTGCGCCTGCAAGAAAAGTAAACAACTTTAGTGGTCTTGGATCTTTTACAAATATTCTTCTTTATTTTTAGGTCAGACCTCAGTTTGAAACTGGATAGAGCCATGAGTTGCTGATGGAGAGAGCAACTTGATAGCAACTTCTGTTCTGGTTCCATCATCCAAGTGGCCATGGTAAACTACACCAAATCCTCCTTTCCCGATGATAGTTCTGAAGTTATCGGTGATTCTAATGATCTCTTGGTAAGTGAATTCCCTGCTCTCCAACTTCATCCCTGATCCTAATGCTCCATGAGATTTTCCAATTCTCTTGCCTGACAAAAATTTAAACAATTTATATAACCATTGTTACACTTCATGACAAATAGTTACTATATATTCACAATAGCACTTGGAAAGAGATGCATGTTCTTCAAAAATTTATCACCTTTAGTACTTCTCTTGTACTTCCAGAGTATGAGAAATGCCAAGGTGGTGACGAACAAAGGGACGATAGTCGCGATGACAGGAACAAAAATGCTACTTTTCTTTTTCTTGCAAGGAGATTGGGTGCAGAGTTTCGGGTTCCCATGTAGACTGTTCCAGGTAAACAGTCAAGCATCCTAATATGAATGGATTCTAAAGCACCAAACAATTTTGATAATTTTACCTTAAGATGAGTGACCCATTATTTGATTTTTCGATGAAAGATGAAGGAACTGGCCCAGACAATTGGTTTCCCCCCAAATTCCTATGATAATTTTCACACAAGTATCTTAGATCACCATTTTAAGGATTGTTATAACAATGTGAGTTTTCAGAAGACCTACAAAGTCCTCAAACTTGGTAGTTCTGATAGAAATAGCGGCACTTCTCCTGATATGCTGTTGTTCGACAAGTCTCTAGCAGATCACAGGAAAAAGTTAAAAAAATTTCAAGAAGCTGACCATTTTTGTCATTAATGTAGGGTTCTTACAAGTGTTCTAGCATATGAAGGCTGGACAATGAGATAGGTATTTGTCCTGTTAGTCCACTTGATGACAAATTCCTGCATATTTCCCATATTGAAGTTACGTTTATAATTGAAACTAGTTTGATACAATGGAACCACATAATGTTTACTTACAATGAGATGATTCTGTAAGGCCTATAACCATTGTTGCTGCAATTTAGTCCATTCCAGGGATGAATTGGAGCACATGGGTCTCCTTGCCACCCTTTCTGAACCCCATATGTTGACTTTATGTCCTCAATAGCATCAACTGTAATGAGTCATTTTTAATTCAATCCAACAATGTACACTTAAGTAATGAGTCAATTGTTAGGATAACCACTAAACTTTAGATCACTAATAAACCAATCATCGAATTTTGAGTTTTTGCAAAGTTGTAATTGAAGTTTTAAATAACTAACATGTACCCTATTTAGCTTACATGAACGACCCCTTTTAATCCATACTCAATTTAAACCAAATTCGCCACCACTGGACCATGAAACACTCACCATCTGCTTGATCGGTTGGGCTCTGCCAAAATGGACGAATAACAAACACCTCGAGAGCATTAAGAATAGGAGGATGCGTAGAGTTCATGGACTTGCTCAACAAGAAATTGAGCTTGGATCCCCTCACGGACTGTGGGCTGGTGATAGTTGTGGAATGAAGATAGCTTGGAACTACATTTCTTCTCAGAACTATGCCATTGAGAGAAATGTCGAATACCCTTGATTCTCCCTCCTGTAGGGCCTCGAGCTCGGCAAAGTGCATATAGATGTAGAAGTCTAAGGTTGCCTCTCTAGTGTTGAGCTCGAAACTCAGTGGCTTGTTCTCGTCCGTTGGTCGTGTTGCTGTCTTCATAACTTTTGAGGGCAAATTGAAATCCGTTCGGTTCACAGAATCAATTGTTAGTGTGGTGTTGATGGTTCCACAGCTGTAGCAATTGTATGGATACCACATTCGATCATACGCATCGTCGTTGTACCTGAAAACATTAAAATCTTATGCATTTTCTTGCTGCATAAACTTGAGAAAGCATGCGTTGGTTGAATATATTGTTTAGATTATAGACAGAACCGTTAAAATCATACATATTCATCTGATTTCATCTCTGACTCGTAATGCTAGGAAAATCTAAAACCAAACTCTACCAAGAAGAAAAATTACTAAGAGATGAGCACTATTAGTAAAATTGACAAATTTGAGTTCGTATCTCCGATCTTTTGGGGTCACCTAGTAAACTTCTCGGAACCCATGCATTATGAACATTACACATAACAATCATAGCTAGCTAGTATACCAAAGAACTCATAAATAGAAAGAAACGAATGACAGATGTGTTCAGCCGCTTATCACGAGTGATCATGAGATTTATCTCACGTATTTAGAATTAATTAATTACCATTTAGTTTTAAAATGAAACTGTCAGGATTGCCGAGTGGTCTTCGAAATTGTTAATTGTACTTAAAACGTTAAAATTTGATTTTTAAAAGAGAGCGTGGGTTAAAAAAAAGTTTCTTTCACATTTTTTTCAGTGGAAATTTTGATGCTCCAACTTTCTTATAGCCCATGTTCTACTAAGAAACAAATCAACCACTAAAATTTGACAACAACCCTTCATTACCGCGCACCTGATAATCTCCCCCGTCGCCGATCCAAAATCCAGCCTCTCGTAAAGCACCAACGGCGCCCCACTCACGGAAGTATAAGTCGAGTTGTGAAAGTGCCTGACCTCCAAAGCCGAAATGAACGGAGTCCCAAGTCCAGTATTCACCAGACATATGTAGATACGATCCAACGGCGGAACATGAATGATCTCCTTGTTCACCACGTGGGAAGCATTGTCAAAACTCAACGAGGCCCAGCGGTTGACTCCGACGAAGACGTCGAATTCCGGCAGCCGATCGTTGTCGTCGTAGTTACCGTACAAGAAAGTCGCCCTGATCAAGTAGATTTTTTCGATAAGCATGATATAAGTTTAGTTTTTTTTGGGTCATATATGGTACTAGTTAAAAGATTCGAACCTGATCAAGTAGATCTTGTCCCTCCCCTCCGGCGGCCTCATGCTGTAGCAGTTCCTGTCCCCTTCGGGGAAGCTCCTTAGAGTCCGGAGCGGGACGGGGAGGTCGTCGGAGATGTGGATCGACGAGATCTCGGAGTTGACGCCGGTGGTGATGTAGGCGTCGTCGGCGATGTAAGGTATCTCGGTGATCGGGTCGGTGTATGTGGCGTCGGTGGGTAATCCGCAGTCTATGTCGATGGAGCCTGTCACGCGTTAAGAAGTCTAAAGCTTTTTAGCAACCGCAGAAAGGCTTTTGTGACCAAGTAATGCTGTAAAAGGACCAATAAAGTCGTTGCAAAATATTTTTAGCAACCAATTTGTTGCTTACCAGCTATATCGTCCAGTTTTCTTCTAACGGCAGCGGCGGTGGCTGAAACGCGGGACTCTGTGTGTATGACGTGTAAGCAGAAGACGAGAAAGAATGGCATAGGAAGCCATGGAGGTTGAGATTTGGTACTGTTACTCTTCATTTTGATTTTGGCGAAGAGTTATTGCAGCTTTTTTTTTTTTTTTTTGCGCCTCTGTTGACGCTAGGAAGGAGTGTGCGATTGAGTAGAGAGAGATCGTACGTATGAAGATAAGGTCGGTAGGCGCCATTAGTATGGCCGAGACAGGAAACTAATTGTGGTCGCATTAATATGACCGGGGACAGACCAGTAATTAATGGTTCGACTGTAACTTGCATGTGGACTTTTCTAAGCTAACTGGATAGAGTCAGTTGCAATTTGGGTCATGACCACTTGATAGGTGCTACTGTATTTTTGCCAGGCATGAAAGGACACGACTTTTCGATTGATAGTTTGATCTATCGGTAGCACTACTTGTTTCAATGTGAAGATTCTAGATTTGGATTTCAGTGTGGATTTCCCTTTCTTGCATACGATTGGATAAACGTAGAAGGAACTAAAGATGAAGGTTGGGGAATCGAACCCTTGCCGGAGCTTAGAGTTATAGCCTTGCTACGAAGATGTCCAAACTTGGAAGCACTAGATGCGCGATGAGTGGATCAGGTGCATAACCCAATTAGAATCCGTCATATTAGTGCTCTTTCTCTCTCTTAAAAACCTTTAATTTTTCCCCTCTTAATCTTTAACGGATGATTTCTCAGTCATTTTAATTCAAATTTTTTTTTGCACAGTTTGATCAGATTAATTGTGCTCTTAAAAATGATATTCACTTTGATATATTTTTGGAACAAAAAGAATTGAGTCATTTTTTACCAGTCTATACCATATGGTATTGACTGGTATTGAAATAAGAGCATATCAAATAGTATGAAAAGCGTAATTGTGTTATGAACATACCAAGACTGTAGGATGGTTGAATACATTATAGTAAGAGTATATTAACTGTCATTTACGACTTTCAACATTGTAATCCACAAGATACCACCCCGTACTAGAGTGGTATTTTGTGGTATTTTTTGATAATATATTTTGTTCACTCATAAATTTGTAGATCCAATAGATCATGATGAACTCGTTCCTTCTATGCAAAAACGACTTATAAATGAAGAAGATATCATATGGTCTGCAGTTGGTAACGAGAGACATGAAATTTTTTTTCTCAAAAAATATTGAAAATGGATCTTATTTTGTAGGGCACACCAAACTCATTCCATCTGTGCAAAGAAATTTGAAATCCGAGTTAAAACGAAGAAGATATGATCCGATTAAGAAAGTTATGAAAAATTAAAATAGTTTTAATTCTCCACCCTTAGATTAGGATTTTCTGAATGAAGGATTCAAATTGAGTTACTAATAGCTACATAATTATGAGTTATGCACCCTATCTTGAGCCGGCGTACCATTAAGTGCCAAGTTAATTTAATAATTTATTATACGTAGGCCAGGTGTCTTTTATTTATTGATTAGCATTGTGTTAGTAGTTAGTGACCGTTAGATATGTGAATCCTAGAGGAATTTTTTTTTATAAGGGTGATATAGGTTTGATTTTCTTATGATTAAGATACTAGTAAGGAATTCGAACATGAGACCTCGAGGTTCTAGGCTACCACATGGACAAACCCAATGCTTTAAAGCATTGATATTTTAGTTTTTGCTATTATGGTACAACTTGAAATTGTACTTTTACGTTTTGTTATAAGTTCATGTTGTACTTATACTCTCTTGTATAAATTCATGGGTAATGTTTGGACTGAGATCACATGCTAACCCACTAAGGAGTTAGCACGGTGCCAACTCGTACAATTACCATTTATTGCTTTTTTTCTATAATTTAACCGTTTTAATAAAGTGGGGGCATTTTTGGTACTGCCAGACGATATTATCAAGGAGAAAGGGGTGGGAGACATGCGGAATTCATGGATATGAAGAGTGGCAATCGGTCTCTTCTCTCTTTCCCTTCTTTCTTCTTCCTTTCCAATATCTTCTTTTGCTGAAGATTTTCAATCCAAATTCCCTCTTATGAGCATCTATTTCACTTCACCTTTTCCCGTTCTATGTCGCTCTGACATTACTTGTCATCTTATCGACGCGTCGTTAGTCTCCCACATTGATTTCTTCCAGTTACTTCTTCACTGATTTGTTTCGAGTTACCTCTCCGGCAACCGTTTTGGGTTTGAAAAAAGGTTATGCTTGCTGGGATATATTTTTGGGTTGAATCCATTTTGTTGTAGTAGCAGTTTAACTAGTAGTGTTTTTGTAGGGTGGGATTGTTTTTCATTTGTAGTACTTTTGGAGGCGGGAGTGTTTTTCATTTGTCAACAGTAGTGTTTTTGTATGGTGGGAGTAGTTTTCATTTGTAGTGATTTTGCAGGATGCGGAGTTTTTTTCAAGAGTAGCAGCATTTTTTACTTCTTATAATATGGATATCTACATTGTATTTGCTAAAGAATCTTATAATATGGATATCTACATTGTAATGCAACCCTCGACAGTTGTAACAGACTTGGAGTGCCCTTCCTACTTAATTCACCAAATTCCCAAAAAAATCAGCGTTAATTCCTCTTTTTTTCTCCATTTTTTCCTAAATTGCCCTTTAATTAAGTAGCACCGTTAGATTAAAAACATGAATGAATGGTGTAGATAATGGTTAAGATGGTGCTAACCTCTATAGGAGTTAGCACTCTAGCTTCTCCCGTAATGTCTATTTTTTATTCAAATTCTTTTCATATTCTTTTATATTATCGTAACCTATTAAATTGCTATTAATTAGTCAAATCTTTCGTAATGCATCAAAATCTTAGCCATTTTTACTATATCGTTAAATTTTTTGTTTTTTCTGTGTTTCTGTGGATTGGGGTTTTTGTGTTTGGGCTTTTCAATTTACTTTGGGCTAGTTTTTATTTTTCCTGGACCTAGTCCAAACTCTGTATCACATCTCCTATTTCGTAATGAAATAAGGTTTCGTAAAAAAAAAACAAAATTGCTAACTGGCTAAGTTAACATTTGACTAATTTTTAGTATTTTGATAGATTTGCTAGTAAAAAAGAATTCGAAAAAGGTTTGATTAATAAATAGTAATTATCCTAAATTCATTTATGGTACAAACTAAAACCGTAACTTTATGTTATTGCGTTGGAGATACTCTAGACCTTTTGATTGTGTTTTATGTGATCATTGTCTAGCATAAATCGATAATTTGTTTGCAGGTTGTCATATATATAGGGAATTGGTGAGAAGTTTGCTTGGTAAGGTCTTTCCGCCCACAGATGGATGACTAGCAAGGTTGTGAAACCGTGGGCTGACCTGGATCCGGTCGAGTTAGCGGGTCAAGTGTTAATTGGTCACACTCATTTTAGCTTGGTTTAGCCCGGAAATATGCAAAGAGTCTTTATATTGTACTTATTCTAGTAAATTTTATCAAATCTCATCTAACATATGAAATATAACATATAAGATTACACCAAAATAATATGACGTACTTAGATCCAACATATAGTGAAAATTCACACACACTTATATAACATCAATATTCAAATATTCAACTTAGAATTCCAAAGATTGAGTTAGGTGAAAAGAAAAATCGGAAAATAGGCGCATTTCGTAAATCAAAGAAAAAAATGACAGAATTTGACCTCCAACCCAGTACCTTGTAGCGGTCGACCCGGCGGATTCGTGCGGCCCGTCTTTCTCACCGAGCCAGGGTCAAAGTGGGTCGACCCGCGGGTTGACAACCTTGATGTCTTGGAAACTTGAGCTGGAATGGACAGTTGCTTCCTCCATAATCTCTTGATCGAGATTCTCCTCTGTCATTAATAGCGTTGGTAAGTTGATCTGGACTCAGTGGCGGATATATGGGTCTTGCGACACTCCCTAAAATTTGGGAAAACGATTATCCAACCCCCAGTAGTAGTTTCGTATGGATAAAAAAAAGGCTTAATACACTTGCATAGCCATAATTATTCACTTTGTGACAATAATAGCCAAATTTTGAAAAATACACAGATATAGCCACTCATTTTAAACTTGTATGACTAATTTAGCCATTTCCGTCAACAACTTTAACACCGTTAGAAAAATTGTCAATAACATTAATGAAATACTTATGTGGATGCCACCTCAGCTTCCACATAAGCTCCAACACACCATTTCATGCCACCTTGTCGCCACGTCACATTCAAATTTCAAAACAATGAAAATAATATTTTCACTAAATTTGTTTTCTCTATATCATCATCTCTGTCGCCTCTCAGTTGCTCGAAATCCGACAACTGATTTTTCTCAGCTGATTTTTCCCTTCCGTAGCTGCTGCTTCTTTATGGATTTCTCAACCAGCTTCTCCTTCAACTCTCCGACTAGATCTACACAACAACCACCGCCATCTGCTGAAATGCCAGCACCAACAACACTTCTTTATCCTCTTCCTCTCTCAATCGCCATCTCTGTCAATCATCGTCTTCCTTTACCCCTGCGGCGGATATGAGAGTTGGGTAGGAGAGACGGATACCCTATTTGCAAAACATGCACAAGGCAGGCGGAGAAGAGAGGAAACAGTGGCAAGACTGACGCGTGAGAACTGGGATTGGGGTTCTTCTTGGTCGATTGAAAGAGAGAAGAATGGTCTGGGTTTGGGGTTCATTGCCGTTTCGAGCTCTCACAAAACCATCATCGTCGCTTGCCTCCAAAGGCTTTTGATGCGTCATCCGGCCGTCCTCCGCTCTTCTTTCAATTTTATCTCCCCAAACATCTTCTATCTACCACCGCGTTGGATTTCCACCTCAATATTTCGATACTTTCGCAAATCTATCGCAAACCCCTAAAACTAGAATCATTAGATGAAGAAGAATCCAAACTCAGAAACCTACAACCCAAATCGAAGAAAAAACCAAAGCTCCAATACTGATTCTTCACCTTCTTACCTTCTTCCCCAATGATTGAACTTGAAGAAGAAACCCAGAACTCCAACCAAAGAAACCCAGAACTCAATTGAAGATCTGGGCCTCTGTTTCTTCGCCGAAGAGGAACAAAATAAGAGCAAAAGAGCAGATCGATGAGCATGAACTTACGAAGAGCAACTGGAGAAGAGATTGAATGGAAGGGCCAAGGGACTGAGAGTCT